ATCACATTTTACACAAAGTAAAGAAAAGTACATTTCACTCTCCCAATAGTTCTCCTTTAATAGTTAAGGTAATTTAATGCAATTTTAAGATTTAACTCCTGAATTTAGTGTCATTTTAAAATCACTTTTAAAGTTGCATTATTATGTAGCACTCGCCTCCAAAAGAGCCGCAATAATTACTGAGACTGGAGATGGTTTAACTGTGTGTATATATACTGTATAACTAGGATATAGGCGTTATCCATCTAATGGTAACCAAACCCTCCCTATCCTACTGGCCAGTAGTGCTATGCGGAGTTTCACTGGCATCGGGGCCCTTAGTTGGAGTGCTCTAAATGAGGTCTTGTACAAGGAGGCAGTACAATGCCCTCAAAGAAAAGTGTTTCAGGGCAATCCTGCTGGGGCATCATTTTTCCACAGAACAGATAATTAGGAGTCAATGGTTCAGAGGCCTCTCTCCAAGTCTCAGCCAGTCCCACGTAGGATAGCGAAAGGGTCCCTCCTCCCGTGCCGACATCTAGCAGTTCCCCAGGTCGTCTCCCCAGGTGGACAATGTATCAGTTCAACTCACAGCAGCTTCGGTGTGTCTGGATCTCTCCCTCTCCACAGTGATGGTACAGTCTCTCGGTCCCTGCACACCAAGTATACAGCAACAAGATGGGGGCTACACAGATCTCAGCGTTTCACCCATTTTGAGTCTTGTGGCAGCACAACAGCAGACAGCTCAGGCATCTGGTCTCCCTGGGGTAACTCAGTCCACAAAAGCAGACGGTACGGCCTTTGCATGGGTTCACAGCAACCAGTCAGAGATCTTCTCCTGCTTCTATCCTAAAGCTACAGTACACCACACAGCCTGTGCCTGCAACTTCTGTCTCCCCATGTATCTCGCTGTGCTGGTTCTAAACTCCAGTCCTCTCCTCTTTCCCCCCATGGACCAGACCTTCCAAGCTATGACTTAAGGCAGGAGTGGGCAACCTTGGCACTCATGTTGTTGTGGAACTACAAATCCCATGAGGCATTGCAAGACTGACAGCAACAGGTATGACTTTTAGGGGTTGATTTACTAACCTTATAAACACACCACAAACAAGTATACACCTCTGTAGTGTGTTCCCTCCCAGCATGATCTATGGGTGGAATCTAAACACCTTTGTAGTGTGTACACACCCAGCAGGTGTGTTGTGCAAAGCCCTGCATGAATTTCAAGGTGATGTTGTGTAAATTAGCTCTATGTTGTGTTGCTTGCGTTGATGAATGCAGGAATGTAAATGCATGAGCTAACCATTTTTGTCTAAACTGTGAAGCAGCATTATATATGCATCATGTGCATGATTTTTCCATATATGGCATTAGTGGAAATATGCTTTTAGAGACTTTTTGGTTGATAAATACATTTTGCTGTGTGAAAATCACACGCACCTGGTGCGTGTGTTTAGGTTAGTAAATCACCCCCTTAGAGTCAGTGGCATGGGATCTGTAGTTTCACCACAGCTGGAGTGGCAAGGTTGCGTACTACTGTGTTAAGGAATTGCTTACCTCAAAAGATTTTTCACCCTAAACTTTTTGTAGCCATGTCATGTGACCTGTTCAGATACAAACTTGAGGATTTATTAACTTGTACTGATTTAATGGTCAGAAAAGTAATGCTATCCTATTATTACATACCAAATGGCAGTAGTGACCATGCAGTAATATTTGACATGGTAGTGATACTGACTGGTTCAGATATCACAAAAAGGTGTTACCGTATATACTCAAGTATAAGCCGTCCCGAATATAAGCCGAGGTACCTAATTTTACCAAAAAAAACTGGGAAAAAGTATTGACCCGAATATAAGCCGAGGGTGGGAAATGAGGCAGCTACTGGTAGATAGATACCAATAAAATTACATTAATATTTATTTAAAAGAAAAATAACCTAGCTCTGTAAGTGGAAAAGGGGGTACAGGGCTACATATCATGTACTACGGATCATTTAACCCATTCATATTAGCAGAGGATAATTGTAAATCTATTGTTCAGTGCATTCTATATGTAGTATATAGTACATGTACATATAGAGTGCCTGCAACAATACATTTACAATGATCCTCTGCTAACATGAATGG